TAAATAGGGGAACCACCACCCCGGTCTGCCACTCCTTCGGTACTGTTTCCGACTTCCACGCAACGTTGATGAGACGTGTCAACCATGACAGTCCCTCAACACCCAGAGCCTTCAGCATTTCCGGGCGGATCTCATCCACCCCCGGGGCTTTGCCACTGTGGAGTTGTTTGACGACCTCAGTGACCTCCCCCCGGGAGATTGGTGTTGATCCCCCGTCATACTCCAGCTCTGCCTCTAACATAGAGGGCGGAGTTGTCGGATTCAGGAGTTCCTCAAAGTGTTCCTTCCAACGCCCTAACACTCCATCAGTTGAGGTCAACAACGTCCCATCCTTACTGTACACAGCTTGGATGGTTCCCTGCTTCCCCCCTCCTGAGGTGTCGGACAGTTTTCCAGAACAACTTTGGTGCCGCCCGAAAGTCCTTCTCCATGTCTTCTCCGAACTTCTCCCACACCCGCTGCTTTGCCTCGGCCACGGATGAGGCTGCTGCCCTTCGGGCCTGTCGGTACCTTGCAACTGCCTCGGGAGTCCCCCGGGATAACAAATCCCTGAAGGCCTCCTTCTTCAGTCGGACGGCTTCCCTGACCACCGGTGTCCACCAGGAGGTTCGAGGGTTACCGCCCCTTGAGGCACCTAGGACCTTGAGACCACAGCTCCCCGCCGCGGCTTCGGCAATAGAGGCTTTGAACACCGACCACTCTGGTTCAATGTCCCCAACCTCCACAGGAATGCCCGAAAAGCTCCGCCGGAGGTGTGAGTTGAAGGCCTCCTGAACTTGGGCCTCCTCCAGACGTTCCCAGTTCACCCGAACTACACGTTTGGGCTTACCAGGTCTATCCAGAGGCTTCCCCCGCCACTCGACCCAACTCACCACCAGATGGTGATCAGTTGACAACTCCGCCCCCTCTCTTTACCCGAGTGTCCAAAACATACGGCCTCAGGTCCGATGATACGATAACGAAATCGATCATGGACCTTCTGCCTAGGGTGCTCTGGTACCACGTACACTTATGAGCATCCTTATGTTCGAACATGGTGTTTGTTATGGCCAATCCATGACTAGCACAGAAGTCCAGTAACAAACCACCACTCCGGTTCAGATCAGGGGGGCCGTTCCTCCCAATCACGCCCCTCCAAGTGTCTCCATCATTGCCCACATGTGCGTTGAAGTCTCCCAGCAAGATTAAAGAGTCCCCTTCAGGAGCCCCATACAGGACTCTTTCCAGGGTCTCCAAGAAGGCCGTATACTCTGAACTGCTGTTGGGTGCATAAGCACACACAACAGTCAGAGTTTTCCCCCCCATAACCCGCAGGCGTAGGGAGGCGACCCTCTCGTCCACTGGGGTAAACTCCAACAACGAAGCACCTAACCGGGGACTTGTGAGTATCCCCACACCCGCCCGGCGCCTCACACCTTGAGCAACTCCGGAGAAGAATAGAGTCCAACCCCTATCCAGAAGTAAGGTTCCAGAGCCGACGCTGTGCGTAGAGGTGAGCCCAACCAGATCCAACTGGTAACGCTCCACCTCCCGCACAAGCTCCGGCTCCTTCCCCCCCAGAGAGGTGACGTTCCACGTCCCCAAAGCCAGCTTCTGTCGCCCGGGTCTGGTCCGTCGAGACCCTCCGCTTTCACTGCCACCCTTCTGGCAGCGCACCCGACCCCATTGATGTTTCCCGTAGGTGGTGGGCCCGCGGGACGGAGAAGCGGAGGTGTTGCCCACGTTGCCTTTTCGGGCTGGGCCCGGCCGGGCTCCGTGGCAAGCCCGGCCACCAGACGCTCGCCGACGAGTCCTCCTTCTGGGCCTGGCTCCAGAAGGGGACCCCGGGCTTCCTCCGGGCCGGGTATCCTCACTTCTTGTATCGTCTTTCATGAGGTCTTTTGAACCAATCTTATCCACAACATAAAATAATATATTAAAATATAACCTCAATCTTTCTTCTAGACATGTTAAAAGCTTGCTTGAATGGGTTATAGGTTTCTTCTGTTGTTCTCTCGTCTTTGAAATATATAAGGAATGTGTTGTTTGAGTCTAGTAGAACGAGGGTATTACAATTGAGCAATTTCTACTACATGTATTATGTATTTATCATGTATTCTTAATACTATTACAAATAAACATGTAATAATGTTTTAGAGGAGGACCTCAAGCTAGCAAACTCAATTTCTTGCTTTAAATCTCTTAAAACTAACTTATCTTATGGGCTTTTTCCTAAATGATGGTGTTTGTTATTGCTTTATGAATTCATATATGTTTATATCTTCTCTAAATCAAGATTATGTGAATCTGATTTGTTTCTGTTGGGTGCAATTAATTATCAACAAGAGATAAGATAAGTCAAATAAGTACTTTATTGATGGCAGTATAAAAATACAAAAAAAAAAATGGTATCAAAAAGGCATGCCATTAAACAATACAAATAAAAAATGTAAAACTGTAGAAAGCATAAATATACATGGCATTGTAAAAATAAATATAAAATGCACATTTTAAAGAAAATAAATAAACAAGAAAGTACAAATGTTGCATTTAAAAATTAACTAGATACAAAATATATAATATGTACAATAACTATTAAGGGTATTTGAAGTATCACGGAGGAGACGGGCCACGTCGGCTGCCCAGTCCCCCTAGCACCTCGCCAAGAATGCGCAGGAAGGCTAGGTTGAAGGTCTCTGCTTGAGCGGCCTCCTCCCTTCTCAAGACGGCCTCCTCCCTTCTCAAGACGGCCTCCTCCCTTCTCAAGACGGCCTCCTCCCTTCTCAAGACGGCCTCCTCCCTTCTCAAGGCGGCCTCCTCCCTTCTCAAGACGGCCTCCTCCCTTCTCAAGACGGCCTCCTCCCTTCTCAAGGCGGCCTCCTCCCTTCTCAAGGCCGCATCCAACTCCCATCTCCGCTCAGCAGACGCTTTGGCCCAGCCCAAGTGCCGTTCCTGCTGGGCCATGTGCTGTTCATGGTGCCGTTCCTGCTGGGCCCGATCCTCTCCTCCTCGTTTCCTCTTGCCTGGGTGACAATAAGATAATAATTAGCAATAAGGAAAAAACACTGGACGGGTACAGGTCACACAAGGATATAAGAATAACATGTATAAACAGAACAACAGTAAGGTGAACTAAAGAAAGTTCTGGCCCTAGATGTTTACAATGATTGTGAATTACATGAAGACATGGTAAGCACGTCCAGCTACCAGAAATGAACGGAGAGGACGCTGGCGAGGACTGTTCGCCGCTTCTCCGCCTCTGTTACCCTCTATCACCCTCAGCTAACATTCGTTCTTGCAATAACCTTCAAATTGGACTACTGCCCTGCATTGCACATCTCTGCTGCACTGCACATTGTTTTTAATTTCTGCCTCCGTTGCTGGCTGCCCTCACTCAGCCATCAAAGTGCCGGGTGGCTACTGCTATCTGCTACATCGCCTACCTGTCTGTCTCCATCCCTCGCAACAACCGTGGACTCTCTCTGCCTCCTGTCTTCACCTCCGGGGTACATCTGTCCCGTCCCGCTGTTCACATCCTCCTGCCATGTCGTGGATCTTCCTCGTCTCCACAACAATCCTCCACCTCTGCGCACCTAGCCCGCTAGCCGCTATCGCTGCTAACACACTGCTCCCAGCATTCCCGCCTGTCATCATGCTGAAATACTCCGTCTCACAGCTTCTGTCATTCACCAACTCCTCCACCCCGTCTTCCATCTCAGTCATCAGACATCTTGGACTCCTTCGTCGACCCCGCTACATTCACCGAAGCACCCGCCGCAGTTTTGTTTACTCTCAGCACGGTCAATCCATAACATCAATCTGCTCTACCCAACGCACTGTCGCACACCTGACGCGTCATCAGAACGCAACTCCTACTGCTCCTTTCTTTCTCCCCTGCATGTAATACCTGGAGCGGATCCCACTCCCCTCCGCCTCCCAACACATATAACAAGCCATTTCTCCCCACCATCAAGCCCCCCTCCTCTGCTCCACTGCCCCCCCTCTCGTCGTGCCCACCCCCGCGCTGCTAACCTGGCCAACCTCATACCTCTCCAGTCTGCCACTACCCCTCCAACCCCCCACTTGACCAATTTTGCCCTCCTCAATATCCGGTCACTTAACAATAAAGCCCACATCCTTCACGAAATAAGTCTGGACAAATCCATTGACTTCTTTCTGCTCACTGAACCCTGGCAACAACCCAATGACTTCTTCTCCCTCAACCAAACATCCCCCCCTAGTTTTAATTACATCACTAAACCCCGCCCCTCACGCCGTGGTGGTGGGCTCGCTGTCATCTACAACCACAACATCCGGACTACAGAACTCACCCTCCCCTCAGTACCATCCTTCGAATTCCTCGCCTTCAAAGCCCCTCCCTCACTGACAGTTATCCTCATTTACCGCCCCCCCAAACCACACCCCTCCTTCCTCTCTGATCTCACTGAACTCCTCACCATTGCTTCATCCCTCTCCTCACGTCTGTTACTGCTCGGCGACCTCAACATCCACATGGACTCCCCCACCTGCAAACTCGCTTCTGAGTTCTCCTCCCTTCTGGACAATTTCTCAATTACCCAACATGTCACCTTCCCCACTCATGATAAAGGAAACATCCTTGACCTTGTCTGCTCCATCAACCTCCCAGTACTCGACCTCCACCCCTGCCCCTTTCCCCTCTCTGACCACAAACTCATACAGTTCACCATCTGACACACATACATCTCCCCCAACATCCACCGCCACCATTTCTCCCCCCATCTCCCTGGACCTCCCGAGCCTTCCTCCCCACGGCCGCCTCTCCCAGTTCACTCTGGTTACCCACCCTGAAATACTCAAACTGATCAGCTCCTCCAAACCCACAACCTGCTCCCTTGACCCTCTACCCACCCCTCTACTGAAGTCCTGTCTCCCCGTCCTCTGCCCCTACCTTGTCAACCTTTTCAACTCCTCCCTGTCCCAAGGTACCGTTCCCTCTGCCTTCAAAACTGCTGCTGTCACTCCCATCCTCAAGAAACCCGGTCTGGATCCCTCCTCCCTCAGTAACTACCGTCCCATCTCCAACCTCCCCTTTCTCTCAAAAACAATAGAACGCATTATCTCCAAACAACTCCACCGCCATCTCCAAACCAACCAGCTTTTTGAACCCCTTCAGTCTGGTTTTCGTCCCCACCACAGCACAGAAACGGCCCTCATCAAAGTCCTCAATGACCTCCTCACCTCTGCTGACACCGGTTCCCTCAACATCCTCATCCTCCTCGACCTGAGTGCAGCCTTCGATACCGTGAGCCACACCATCCTGCTTACCCGACTCCAGGACATCGGTATCGATGGTACTGCACTCAGGTGGCTCCAGTCCTACCTCTCCGACAGATCCCACTTCATCTCCCTCAACAACCACTCCTCTTCCACAGCTTCAGTCACCCAAGGTGTTCCCCAAGGTTCAGTACTCGGCCCCCTCCTCTTCATCATCTACATCCTCCCCCTTGGTCAGATTCTCCGCAAATACAACCTGGACTTTCACTGCTATGCCGACGACACCCAGATTTACCTCAGCACCAAATCCCCCAACAACACCCCCCTCACCCACATCGAATCCTGTCTGACTGCATTCAAATCCTGGATGCAACACAACTTCCTCAAACTCAACAGCAATAAAACTGAACTCCTCCTCATCGGATCAAAATCTACCCTCAGCAAAACCCCCAACCTGACAATCACCATTGATGGCACCCCTGTTTCCCCCTCCACCCAGGCACGCAACCTTGGCGTGATATTTGACCCCACCCTCTCCCTCGAGCCCCACATCCGTCATGTTGTCAAAATCTTATTTTTCCACCTCCGCAATATTGCCAAACTCCGTCCCTCTCTCACCCGCCCTGCAGCTGAGCAACTCATTCACGCATTCATCTCCTCCCACCTTGACTATTGCAACTCCCTCCTCTACGGCATCAGCTCCACCTCCCTCAGTAGACTCCAGCGTGTCCAGAACGCAGCCGCCAGACTCCTCACCCACACCAAATCATGGCATCATATCACCCCTGTCCTCAAAGAACTCCACTGGCTCCCCGTTACACACCGCATCAATTACAAACTCCTGGTCCTTACTTATAAAGCCCTCCACCATCTGCCCCCCCCCCCCCTACCTCACTGACCTCCTCACCCTCTACCAACCACCCCGGTCCCTCAGATCCACCTCAGCCGGTTTGCTTTCAATCCCCAAGGCCAAACTCCGGAGCTTCGGGGACAGAGCCTTCTCTGTGGCAGCCCCGAAGCTCTGGAACTCACTCCCCCAAGACCTCCGTGAGTCTGAGTCCCTCACCCTGTTCCAGTCCCGCCTCAAAACCCACCTTTTCAACTCTTTATCTATAAAGCCCCCCCCCCCCCCCCCCCCCCCCCTCTTAATCAACTTCCTCCTGACTGCTTTTCTGTTGTGTTTTGTTTCTTTTTGGCTTTGTCTCGGTTTTTTTGTTTTTTGTTGTTGTTTTGTTTTGTTTGTATACCCCCCCCTCCCAAATGTAAAGCGTCTTTGGGTCCAGAAAAGCGCTATATAAAATTAATATATTATTATTAATTACATTATGTCCAGCCTGTTGATAATGAATATAAATATATGTATATGATAGGATGTCACACACAACTGTACTAGCTGCTTACTAGCTAAGACTTTACTTGTAACAGAGCATTTCCACACAGTGGTATAGCTTATTTTAATTACTGACGATGGATGATCCAAGGTTTAAAAAAACAAAACACAATTCCAGTCGTTTTGCCATTTCTATTTCTTACCTAGAACCACATGCTGCGGTGTCGTGATGGCACTCGGCGTTGGTGGTTGAGTTGGTGTCGGTTCTTTGGCTAGTGTCTGTGGTCGATGACGATGTTGTGGACGGAACACTGCCATCACCCGTTGTTCGGGAATGTTCCTCCTCACTAGTCCCAATGTAATCATCTAGAACAGCAAAATGACTTGTTAATTCCACAAACTACTGCAGCACAATACTAAATAGCAACAACAACTATAGAAAAGAAAAACTGAACGTAAACAATGGCACATGGTGTTAGCAAACAATAGCTCTAGCTAAGGCTATCTGCCTAGGCTATCTGCCTTAGCTAGCTATGTAGCTCTTCGGGGCTCCATAAAAGCATGGGTTGTCGAACATTAATGTAAGGATTAAAATAGACTTATTTGTTAGAAGTGAGCGTACCTTGCAGGGACTCCAGTAAAGCCGTTGCAGAGTCCAGGCCTCCCTCCCTCCCAACGTTGGCCGGTCTATGGCCGTAAATATGGTTGGACAAGTCGAACAACTTCCATTGTATCCTACCCGCACCACTCGTGTTATTGTTGTCCTTAACTTGGCGATATTCACTCTTCATCTTTTTGAGTTTTTCCCAACACTGCAGGAAAGTCCTCGACAATCCGCGTTCGGACATCTGTGCAGAGACATCCTGGAACAATTTCACATTTCGCGTTGTTCCGTCGAGCTCCCGCTGGATTTTATCATCCCCAATGAGATTAAGGAACGTCGTCACCTCCTCGGTCGACCACGGTGTGCTTTTCTTCGACGTTGCCATTTTTGTAGCTCCTCCGTTTACTAAATGCTGTTAATAAAAATGCTGCAAGCTTGCTTCTAGATATATATGCCACGCTAGGGATGATCTCGCGCACGATCTTGTGACGATTCTCTCTGACCAATCAGCAGTCGAGAGTGTTGACGTCACTAGTTCAGCCCTGGCCTGATAGAACCACGATTTTATGGGGCCGGAAAAAGAGGGAAAAAGTACCCACTAGCCGGTGCTAGGCTATATGGAAAGGCCACCAAAAACTGGCCTGGACGCTTGAGGACGGTTAAGGACGCTTAAACGGGGCTACCCGCTGCAGTGGAAATGCGCCATAATTGTGCCGCATAAGCGCATAGGTGCGCTGCATTTGCGGCTCAGTTGAGGCTCCCTCCGCAAGATGAGGCCCCCCTGCGAGGTGAGGCCCCACGCAGTCTGCGTGATCGGCCTGTAGGGAGAGACGGCCCAGACTCCAGCAGCCGGCGCCCTAACCACACCCCGCTGCCACACCTGTCTTCCCTCTTTAATGTTGCAAACCCAATTCAACTTTTTGTTATGTACAAAGAGAGAAAATGTAGTCTCCCTGCTCTTATGAGTTGGTCCAGACGTTGTCCTGCTCTTCTGTGGCGGACCTGCAGAAGTTAGATGCCTCCTGAATTGTGACTGCTTGCAGCAGAGCTGAAACAGCTGGGCACTGACCCCAGTCCTGCTCCACTGGGGTCCAGCTGCCCCTTCTTGGTCACTTTTCCACTGGATTGAGTTGGAAGTCAGGTAATATGAAACTTGATTTATTTGCAACCATTTTTTTGCAGATTTCACTGTTGAATATGTTGACCATGTTAGATTGTGTTTCCTATCACATTCAATACAAGGATATATCTAAATTGATGTTGTCTTAGAGAAGATCAACTTGGAGCACAACAATCAGATACTATATGCTTGGTTTAATTCACATTTCACACACTTAACTGCATCTTTGAAAATCAGATTGTGTGTTCAACTTTCTCACAAATGCTAATTTCCTTTTTCACTGGATTGAGTTAATGGGGCGAAGCCTGCGAGCTAGTTCAGGCAGTCAACTCGAGCACTTATGCTGCATTCATACATAACGCCCTCTTGCCACTCTACAACCAACCAAACAGAGTCTCCTTAATATGCCGCTCTATTTAACCTGCCAGATCTCTCTCCATGCATTGCTTGCTGCTGCTACCTCTACGTCGCTGCTGCTTGCCTGCTGCGTTCACTTGCTATTGCTGCGTTCACTTGCTATTGCTGCGTTCATGTTCCTGCTGCTGTGTTTCATGTTGCTGCTGCTTGCCTGCCGGTGCTGTCCTTGCAAATGTCTATTGCAATCTCCGACTCTGGAACCGAATCATCATACGCAAGAAGCCGTAAGAAATGCCTCATTCCCGAAACACAGGCTAGCTCAGAGCATGGTTCAGACGCCGCTGGAATGAGCCACAGCTCCCGCACGACACACATTCAGGTGTCCCTTCCGTCCTCATCTGGAGTAGCTTTTAATATCCTTTGGGCCAGAGGAAGTCCCGAGTTCTACGCCAGCTCCGGTAACAACCCCTCTCTTGTGTGTCAGCTAAGAGTCGCACTGTCTCTCGGTCGGCGGGTATTTCAACACCAAAAAAGGCAGGAGCAAGCTGACTCCGGCATTCCCAAAGTACCTGCCATCCTGTCCTACCTTCTCGAAGTAAAATCAGTGCTTGAAGCCTTTAATTGCACAATATATATTCCCGTGAACAAACTCGATTTCCTCTACCTGCAATGTAAACAAATGTTTCTACTTCCACGTTCAACCACGTTGTGCCGCTGACGTCACACTCCTGAGGATTCTGGGAATTGGAGTCCCAGATCCAGCCACGAGTTCTAGCTTCCGGCCCCTGCAGCAGCAATTCCTTTGGAATCGTATCTTGGCAGGTATATATAATACTATTCTGCATAGCAATGTTTTATTATGGAAATATTTGGCCTGCAGTAAGTCATATTTGAGGCATTTATACAGAAGTTGTATGTGTATAAGTATTTATACTAGGCCTACTATAAATCAATGAAATTAAAAACGGAAATAAATTAATAATTTCCATCACGTGAATATGAAGGGAAGCTCGATACATTTTTGACCATCATTTTAGACTTCAATCTCCTACAGTGTCTTTTCTATGAATACCATGAATCATTCTCTGCCAAGCGGCCATGTACATTTAATCACCTACCAAAGAAGAGTTTTTCCTTACAGGAATTAAGCTCTACCTGCAATATTCTGCCCCTCGCTGGGTGTGCCTCAGGAGGCCACAGTGCTGCAAATCGTTTCCAAGCTCTTTCTAATCACAGATGTTCGTCAAATGACCTTATCACAGGCTTAAATCAAGGTTTCTTAGCAGGTTATGCTGGCTCCCAGGGTCCCATGTCTGTTGAAACCTGCACTCAAGACTGAAGTTTGCACTGAAGGAGCCAGGAGTATTACACGTGCTGCTATTTAAACGTTTACAAACACGACAGGCCCCTAGCCTAGTGCTAGGAGGAATTATTCTAGCAACGTTTCTTGAGCCGTTAGTTCCTCACGATTATTCTGTTAAGAGTATTATTAACTACTAAAGATTTTTCCCGTTTCTTTGCTCTGTAGATGACATGGCAGGGAAAGCAGACATCCCGTATGCCTTCTGTGGCAAAAATATTTTAAGGTTTTACAATCAAATGTGCATTTGGTTTCCATAGTAACCCACGTTTCTTTGACACCTCATCAGAAGCATTATGCTGGATTCTCTGCAACACTGTAAGCACCCCTTGGTTTCCATCTTTTAACCATTTCTTAGTTGTTAACTTTCCCAGATAAAACTTTTCAACAGCTAGGCCTACCTCTTTCAGAACAGGAACTGGAAGCCCTTCCACACGTCTAGAATTATCGGTATCATTCTCGATAGTGTGCTGATGCAAGCTTCACTGCCATCAGACAAGCTGTCCCGCATCAGAACTGCCATAATTACAATTCATGTTATTTATTTAGCGCCTTTCCAAATGTTCAAAGTGCTCTACGTTATACTACATATTAGACTTGTAATACATTCAATACTGATTACTGCCTTCAATTATGGTCTCCCACTGGTAGTCTCTCTAAAAGAGATGTTTTATATTTATAAGGAACAAGCGCTAGCCTTTCTGTCCAAACCTTAAGGCACCATAGTCTTAGGTCACGTTCACACCTGCTTGGTTAGTACTATTGAATCGGTCCCTGTAGCGTTAACCCCTTGATGCGGTTCGTTGGATTGGTGTGGAAGCAGTCCGATACCTCTGCTCCGCCTAAAAGAGGTGGTCTCGGGTCGCTCGCTAGTAAACTCTGGAGAGGTTCATTGCTGGTGTGACGCAGTCCGCATCAAAACATGGGAAACAACTATTTGCGCGTCATCGCTTGTTTTGCTATCTATGCTGTGTGCAACATCCAGTAACCTATAGGGTCATGCATTCATTCTGGTGACTGCTTACCTCACTGGTCCCCTGTGTACAGAGAAAAGGCAGTGGTACAATCTCATCAGAGCCACCTGTCATCGGTGAAACCTCCTCACTGCATAACGTCTATTATGTGTTATAATGTTTTTAATGCACGTTGTCGGATTTATAATCCTATGCGCCGGCCGCAGAGTCTGTTGATGTACTCTCCAGATTAACAGCAGCATGAAAATAACCTGCCAATGCTCCATGATGCAGGCTACTGTAGAAATAGCTGGGATCTGCATTTTATCCGCTTAATGTCCCGCCAATTGTTGAAAAAGCATCTCCGTACAATGACTTTAGTTTACAGTTCATAGTCTGTTTGAGGTTGCCTGGGTGAACGCAAACCCAACCTTCTTTAAATGAAACGATGTAATACACTTGCGTCTGGTGTAAAGACGCGGACTATTCGGCATGAATGCAATCTTAGAGATGGCTATTGCTCAGATCTTTGGTCCTTAGCCCCTCTGCGACGAGTGGAAGGTTATGTTCATTCTTTTATAATGACCTTGCGGTGTCCTCAGATCCTCTCTAGTTACTTACAGATGATGCGCCTTCTGCTGGTTCGGGGGATTTCACAATGAGTGGTTTGCCCCACCAGCTTGCCATGCCCTTCGTTCAACCAAATGACTCTGGATCTACACGTCAAGCCTTCAAGGATTTCCCATATTCTGCCTCCAACCAAGAGTATGATTCAAAGCATACAATTCAGCTTGGTACTTTATCTTCTTCTGTCCCTCCTCTGTGTACTTATGCAATAGATATAATAGTTGTTCATGCATTAATTGCATTTTCATTCGAATCCTGCAATCTTCAAGTGCTAAGTATTAAGCCACGCTAGAGTTCATTAATTTGCTCCTCAAGGGCCTTAAGAAGGCACGTCCTCCACGCAATGATAAAGACTACCTCTTAACTTCGCATCCGTGCAAAGGTTAATGTCTAAGTTCAGGCAAAGGGGTTTCACTATACATTGATAAACGTCAGAGGCAGTTGTTACAGCTTTCTATTGGTTTCTCAGGTGGCGAATATACACAGACCTCTCACCTTTTAATCCTCAGCATAATCTCTCCCTTACTGAATTAACTTTGGAGATCAACTATACACACGTTTTTGAAACATTCAATGTCTGACATTTCTGTTTGGGGAGTCAAGGAACCCCGAATAATCATTGCTAAAACTAACACTGTTTTCTTGCTGAACTTCTCGCATCATTGCCCTCTGACACATGGGTCGGCACCCATGTTTATTCGATGGCTGCAAACCTAACGACGAGGGTTCTCCTCCAAGCTGCGTGATCTCTGCCTAAGCTGCGACCTGCCCCCAGATCGCTATTCCCACTGTTTAAGAATCTGCACAGCCACAACCGCAGCTCTATATCCGCCTACCTCAACCCTGAGTATCCTGGGCCGTCGGTCATCTTCTGCCCACCAGCGCTATATCATGCCTCACTTGAATGAGATCCT